TAAGATTTATTTGCAATTTGTAGCTAAGTTTAAGTTTAATAAATACTTGCTTTAAACACAGATTCACCAATGAGTTTTCCTTTACTATATTGCATCTGTAGGTCTCTGTTCATAAACATAAACTAGCCAAAACAAATTTACTATAGAATAAAAGAGTGTTTGTATAAATTCAGAAAAAAGACACATGCTAGTCACTGCATATGTGTACATATTTCTATGTTGTGGTCTTTTTACACAAAGTTAGGTTAGTTCCATCATTTAGGTTTTAAAATTTTAGAATTTGACTCTGTTGCACTGACCATATGCTTGCACTGGGTCGGTATGACCAACAGGTCAAAACAAGCTCAAAACAAAGTGTGCGCTGTCCCTGATTGGTGTGTTTGCTTTGCGCTTCTTTCGTTTTGACCTTACGTTTTTATGCACACACAAACCAAAAGGAACGACAGATTTTGCATAATGAAGTGAAGTAAAAAGTAAGATATTTGACTTTGAAATGTGGTGGAGTGAAAGTAAAAAGTCATCCAAAACAGAAATACTTCAGTACAGATACACAAATAAAACTACTTAAGTACAGTAATGAATTCCATTACTTTGTTACTGTCCACCATTGGTTATCGGTAATGTCACATACAGCCTACGTACAATTTCAGAACCCCATCTTAAAACACCTTCCGAAGTCTCTTTTAAAGTGTTCAGATCAAAGGGGGTCTCCACAACCAGGTCTGGGGACCACTGTTCTAGACCAGCGAAAGTGTCACCGTTAAAGAATAATCATTACAGTCTCCAACACACTGACTAACTGAAGTGTTTATATGTGGTCAACATGAAAAGATGTAAAATATAAATGTTAATGGACTCACCCTTTACAGTGAGTGTAACAGAGTTACTGTTCTGTGATGATGTGGGTCTGTTACGTCTCTCTCCTCTACACTGATACTGATCTCCATTAAACACAGCATCTTCTCTGATGGTGAGAGTGTCTCTGTTTACAGTGTAATACACAGACTGAGACACTGCAGTCCATCTACTCTGTTTATCCTGTTTATACCACTGATATGTCCATCCATCATGAGTGTTAATCTCACACTTCAGAGTGACTGACTCTCCAGTGAACACAGGACTCTCTGGTTTTACAGTTAGTGTAGCTCTGGGTGAAGCTGTGAGAACAGAAGAAAGAAGAGAACAGAGTATTTAGAGTCAGTGTCATTATTGAAAGCACAAATTAAACATCTGGCCTCCTCTGTATTGCTGTGGTGCAGTGAACATAACTATTTCTTCTCTCATTTTCTTGTAATCGTGCACAATAAGCACATTTTTTGTGTGATTCCTGCAAAGAAAATAAATGTAGTAGATACAGATTGTGTTGCTGACTCTGAAGCCCCGCTGTGAAGAGGAGCTGCAGTGTCCCCATAACACAAATTAAAACGAGACCTAATGAGCATCTCTATACATTATCGCATCAATCTACCACATTAAATTTCGTCAGACAGCTTTTGGGAGCTGTTAGTCTACTGCCGCACAGGACGAGTAAAGAGGTCTGTATCTACTTCATGCATTTTCTATGCAGACAATTAAAAAAAAAAAAGAGTGCACATTTAATAGGAAACCTCTGCAGCCCGACAGGTCCAACAAAATATTGGGCACATATTTTTTCACACACAACATCGTGCTGGAGTCGGACTGGTGTTCAGATGAGTGATTTATTTATGTACACTCAACAAACTGTTTTGGAGTTTTAACTTAAATATATATGTAACCAGTAATTTTAGTTTTGTAATTTTAATGTAAGTTTAATGTTTATTGTACTTCAAATAATGAGTGAACAGAGTGTAACACACCCTGTTCTGTTAACTTACTATTACAGTCATATTATTACTGTACTATTACAGTGAACTTGACATTTTTAACCAGCCAGTTTACTCACTTTTATAAGTAAATACTATTGTTTCAAAGTGAAGTAGATCTGCTCTCCCCCCCCACCCCCCTTTCTCTCCCTTTTTCCTTTCTGTCTGTCTCTCTTTCTTTCTCTCTCTCTCTCTGTGCTGGTCAAAGTGTTGTATCTGTTAGTGACACAGGTGTGACATTATTTCATTGGTGAATCTTTTTTCTTTGGGGATCCTCATTATTATTATTAATATAACTATAAACTTTTTCCTTATTAACAATAATAATATATTTGCTTTGTGTACAGAAACAATACGGCCTTTAGTACTGATTAGCGAGCGCTGCTTCTTCTCTCCTCTCCTCAGTTTTAGACATGAGAAGTAATCTGTTACCTGCCTACTTATACAAGACAAAAGTCAAAAGGGAGGAGGCTTAAGAGAGGAAAGAGGGGGCGTCCCAATGTAAACTGCCCAGCACCACTTTGGGCTACATTATAAAAAAGACTTTTGTGCAATTATAACATTAAAACATAAAAATATTTAACATTTGCTCTGTGTAAGTGAACACTGTGTAAGTGAGTATTTTCATTACAGTGAGCTGAAAACTGTTGGCCGCTTTGAGTCTGTGTCGCTCAAACACACCCAGGTTTAGGTGCAGAGTTATAGACCAGTTCTGAGTCCCAAAGCAGCTTAATATTGATTTTAAATCATGGACAAATCATTTTGCTTTGTTATCATTAACATCACATACAGCCTGCTTAAAATTCAGCACCTCATCTTAAAACATCTTCCCGCATCTCTGTTAAGTGTTCAGATCAAAGGGGGTCTCCATGACCAGGTCTGGGGACCACTGTTCTATACCAGCCATAAAAGAATAATCATTACAGTCTCCAACACACTGACTAACTGAAGTGTTTATATGTGGTCAACATGAAAAGATGTAAAATATAAATGTTAATGGACTCACCCTTTACAGTGAGTGTAACAGAGTTACTGTTCTGTGATGATGTGGGTCTGTTACGTCTCTCTCCTCTACACTGATACTGATCTCCATTAAACACAGCATCTTCTCTGATGGTGAGAGTGTCTCTGTTTACAGTGTAATACACAGACTGAGACACTGCAGTCCATCTACTCTGTTTATCCTGTTTATACCACTGATATGTCCATCCATCATGAGTGTTAATCTCACACTTCAGAGTGACTGACTCTCCACTGAACACAGGACTCTCTGGTTTTACAGTCAGTGTAGCTCTGGGTGAAGCTGTGAGAACAGAAGAAAGAAGAGAACAGAGTATTTAGAGTCAGTGTCATTATTGAAAGCACAAATTAAACATCTGGCCTCCTCTGTATTGCTGTGGTACTGAGATTAATGGACACTGAAGAGATGATCACACTCACTTGACGCAGCCCCACAAAACATAGTAAAACATTTATTGAAATGGAAACTGTGGTGCAGTGAACATAACTATTTCTTCTCTCATTTTCTTGTAATCGTGCACAATAAGCACGTTTTTTGTGTTTTTTTTTTTTTTTTTTTGATTCCTGCAAAGAAAATAAATGTAGTAGATACAGATTGTGTTGCTGACTCTGAAGCCCCGCTGTGAAGAGGAGCTGCAGTGTCCCCATAACACAAATTAAAACGAGACCTAATGAGCATCTCTATACATTATCGCATCAATCTACCACATTAAATTTCGTCAGACAGCTTTTGGGAGCTGTTAGTCTACTGCCGCACAGGACGAGTAAAGAGGTCTGTATCTACTTCATGCATTTTCTATGCAGACAATTAAAAAAAAAAAAGAGTGCACATTTAATAGGAAACCTCTGCAGCCCGACAGGTCCAACAAAATATTGGGCACATATTTTTTCACACACAACATCGTGCTGGAGTCGGACTGGTGTTCAGATGAGTGATTTATTTATGTACACTCAACAAACTGTTTTGGAGTTTTAACTTAAATATATATGTAACCAGTAATTTTAGTTTTGTAATTTTAATGTAAGTTTAATGTTTATTGTACTTCAAATAATGAGTGAACAGAGTGTAACACACACTGTTCTGTTAACTTACTATTACAGTCATATTATTACTGTACTATTACAGTGAACTTGACATTTTTAACCAGCCAGTTTACTCACTTTTATAAGTAAATACTATTGTTTCAAAGTGAAGTAGATCTGCTCTCCCCCCCCCCCCCCCCCTCTCTCTCCCTTTTTCCTTTCTGTCTGTCTCTCTTTCTTTCTCTCTCTCTCTCTGTGCTGGTCAAAGTGTTGTATCTGTTAGTGACACAGGTGTGACATTATTTCATTGGTGAATCTTTTTTCTTTGGGGATCCTCATTATTATTATTAATATAACTATAAACTTTTTCCTTATTAACAATAATAATATATTTGCTTTGTGTACAGAAACAATACGGCCTTTAGTACTGATTAGCGAGCGCTGCTTCTTCTCTCCTCTCCTCAGTTTTAGACATGAGAAGTAATCTGTTACCTGCCTACTTATACAAGACAAAAGTCAAATGGGAGGAGGCTTAAGAGAGGAAAGAGGGGGCGTCCCAATGTAAACTGCCCAGCACCACTTTGGGCTACATTATAAAAAAGACTTTTGTGCAATTATAACATTAAAACATAAAAATATTTAACATTTGCTCTGTGTAAGTGAACACTGTGTAAGTGAGTATTTTCATTACAGTGAGCTGAAAACTGTTGGCCGCTTTGAGTCTGTGTCGCTCAAACACACCCAGGTTTAGGTGCAGAGTTATAGACCAGTTCTGAGTCCCAAAGCAGCTTAATATTGATTTTAAATCATGGACAAATCATTTTGCTTTGTTATCATTAACATCACATACAGCCTGCTTAAAATTCAGCACCTCATCTTAAAACATCTTCCCGCATCTCTGTTAAGTGTTCAGATCAAAGGGGGTCTCCATGACCAGGTCTGGGGACCACTGTTCTATACCAGCCATAAAAGAATAATCATTACAGTCTCCAACACACTGACTAACTGAAGTGTTTATATGTGGTCAACATGAAAATATGTAAAATATAAATGTTAATGGACTCACCCTTTACAGTGAGTGTAACAGAGGTACTGTTCTGTGATGATGTTGGTCTGTTACGTCTCTCTCCTCTACACTGATACTGATCTCCATTAAACACAGCATCTTCTCTGATGGTGAGAGTGTCTTTGTTTACAGTGTAATACACAGACTGAGACACTGCAGCCCATCTACTCTGTTTATTCTGTTTATACCACTGATATGTCCATCCATCATGAGTGTTAATCTCACACTTCAGAGTGACTGACTCTCCACTGAACACAGGACTCTCTGGTTTTACAGTTAGTGTAGCTCTGGGTGAAGCTGTGAGAACAGAAGAAAGAAGAGAACAGAGTATTCAGAGTCAGTGTTATTATTGAAAGCACAAATTAAACATCTGGCCTCCTCTGTATTGCTGTGGTACTGAAATTAATAGACACTGAAGAGATGAATAAGTGGTTTATGGACCACTTTTCACAGTCATCCATTAAAAGAAAGATTTAAATTTTCTGTCCAAATGTTTATGAAGGCAAATAAAATATTCCAGTTCATATACATGCAAATGATTTACCTTGAGTTTGTCCACTGTGGATGAGGACAGTCAGCACTAAAATAAAGACAAAAGCAGAGGATATGATACATTAATATGAATAATAATGAATAATATTAAACAGCAGTAGAGCATTTCAGGGTAACTGCAGTTACTGTCACCACACTGTCATTTATTACAACGGTCTGTAAGTCAATCTAAAAATGAACAAAATTTGTAACAAAGAATACAGTTAAAAGAACATTATGCAATACTGACAGCTAGCGTTTAAAGTGAGCACTTCAGTCTGAATTCAAAATATTGGAGAGTTGCCTCCTCCTCCCCAGACTTAAAGAGTAACTACACCCAAAGACCTTTTTTTTCATTAACAGCTGAAATGCACTGCTTTGTAATAATAAAATATACCAGCCTTGTTTGAAATGTGAACACATCTTTACAAACTGTAAAAATATCATTTTTATCATAGTCATGCTGTTTTAAAGACCCTCTGGCTTCTAAACTTTCTCCATCTTTCAAATACATCACAAGTATTTACTTGCATTTTATTAAGCAGAGGCTTTTTATGTCGGGTGGAATCTGACATTGTCTCTGTTGATCCAGTTTACTGGCTTGCGTTCATGGCTGCAGCGCACTGTGCTTGCCTGGTTATTTGTTTCATATTTGGCAACCTGAGGTGTCAAAATAGAACATAGAAATAACACATACTACCACATAGAATGCGTCGCTGTGACAGCAACCATAAACATTAAGTTCAGGTTCATTTTTACACTCTTTCCATTTAAATTTAATGGAATGAAACTTTTTTTTACATAATTTATGAATTTATCATTGATTTTAGCTAACTAACTTCACAAACTGTCTGTTTATGAGCTGAAGGATATGACGTGAAAAGGACGAGGAGTAACCGACCATTAGCATTTGTCTGTGTATCTAAGACTTAACTGTCTCTCACTGTGTAAATTTCAAGCCACATTATTTTTCCCAGTAGGTTAATCTCAGCAAGTAAATATTAATTTTGTACAGAAAATGTTGTATTTAATTTTCGTGTGGGCAAATAACACATCCTTTATAAGAGGACTGTTTTTCAGTGTTTATATAGCCACCATTATTTTAGCTTACACTAAATCACTTTCAGAAACATGCCATCTCTCCGCCCCCCTTAATTTGAGCGAGCGTTTGCACACACCCTCCTGAGCTATATGTAGTTACTTAATGACACAGAAGGACCTCAGACTGAATATTAACACCTTCATACAGCAGCTCTCACTCTAATAAAGACATAAAGAGAACATTTACTCACAGAGTATTACAGAGAGAGACCTGAACTGACACTGTGTGACACATTGTTCTTAAAGTTTCATGTAAATCTTATCAAAACAAACATGTTTCCCTCATAGCAGTTTCTGTCTTTCTGTGACTGTAAACCTAAAAGAGAGATTCAAACATGCATAATTTCCACAATCATTGTAAATGAATTGTGTTGATGTAATAGAAAATTGTTCCACCATTTTAATGTGTATATACCTAAATGATCAAAAGTCATTACTGAGTTTAAACTTTTGAAAGTAAAGTGTTAAATTGGTGGGGTTCTCTGTACAACCCTTCCCCATTTCTGGGGAAGGGTTGTACATTAACAGTGTTAAAGTTATAAAGAAGTAAAACTAGAAGTAAGATTTTTAAACATTACAAATCATCACTGGGATAAAAGCTTCTATCTCATTTATCTATTTATTTATTTATTTATTTATTTATTTATAATTTGAAATTGCCAGCTGTAGGTTACACTATGTCAGGACTTTATGATGAATGGACAAACAAAATGTTTGGAGATGTGAGGTTTAGTTCTGAGTGTATTGTTCTGAGTGTGAATATGGAAATAGGAAATGAAAGTGTAGCAAAAAATTAGAAATTTCTAGAAAATAGAAAATAATTTTTAAAGGTTTTTCTTGTATGTAATTTTCTGCCATCCCACCACGGACACATTAGCAGTGTGGGAGAGAGTGTTACAGCTAAACTGGGACAGCCACTGAGTCAATTTATGGGTGCTTTTGGGTGAACATGTTTGTTGTATTAATCATTTATTTACACAACAACAACAATAATTACAATGATCAATAGTCCCTACTGGTGAAAATAGATTTTTCATGTCCCCAAAGAGATCGAATAGGTTTGGCTTTTTTAAAACAAATAACTTGCTTCCAGGGTTGGGATAGCTACTGACTAAATTAGTAGTTAGCTATTTTGTAGCTATTTTCCCAAAATTTATAGCAGCTACAATTTAGCTACTTTTCCAGAAAAGGTAGTGGCTACTTTTTAGTTACTTTTTGAAAAGTAGTGCACTACTTTTTAGCTACTTTAAACTTAATCTCCACCTGATATGGCATACAAGCCAAACTGAGAGTGTGAACAAGACACTGCATTTAATCATGTGCCAGAAAGAAACATACAATTTAAAAGCTGCAAATATACAAAAGATCACCATGAAGTAAGTTTAAGTGTAACCAACAATCAAACTTACACAACCAAAGGTGTGATATCCTACCAAATTTAGACTAAGTAAAAGCAAAGTCAATCATTCCAGGTTTTCCTTACAAAAATCAACAAAAATAACTGAATACAAACCAAACAACTTTGTGCAAAGCACTGTCAACTGTTGAAATAAAACTGCTCCAATTTAAACATGTCAGCAAGATGTACAGACATGATATTCAGAGTCTCTAATAATCTTCAATAACACTTTAGCCTCAAAATCCTCATCAGTGACTCTGGCTCTGTCTGGGGTGAGAATCAGGCCTGAATAATCTCTCCGCTGCTGCAGAGCTGCTGTGACTCTATTTTTAGGTAAAATATTTTTTTTTACTTTTTAACTTTTTAACCAATGACTATTACTGTGTTAATGTTTGGGTAAATTATAGAAATATCCAATTTTGTATGCATGGTAATGGAAATTGACCTGTATTAAAAGTCACAAAATCCGTTTGTGAATATTTTTCCAAATTAAGTAATATGTTCAACAAGGGATTCGCAAGATTACTGATAATGTTTGTATGCGGAATTCAACTGCAAAGTCAGATGGTGTTATTCCTAAGGAGATACAGCTGTATGTAGCAATCAAATCAAACATGGTGAGCTCCATTTGTGATTTTTTTCACAAATCAAGCTCTGCCTAATCAAACACACTTTCATAGATTTTGTAGTCATTTGAATTGAAAATCCCAGGTCAAAAACACTTATATTTCACTTATTTTCACTTTCCGTGCTCAAGGTCTACACAGGCCACAGACGGGCAAAATAAGAACTGTGAAGTGTTTCACAAATCGGCCTGGTCAGTCTGAACCTGGTTTCATTCATCTGAGAGCTCAACTTTTGAAGTTATAAGCTTTAGTAAATTAAACCCCGATGTGTAATATTTGCGGATTTTGGTTTCGAAAATGATGTCATCTGAATTCACAAATCAGGACTGACAAAGCGCACCAGTGTTTGTGGAAGCATGGAGTTATAGCCGGTAGAAATCTGAATCGCTAACCGTAAGCCAACTTTACTGTGGTAGCGGCTACAGCTATTAGCTACAAAAGTTTGTAGATAACTACAAAAAGTAGTGCGCTACTTAGCTACTCCCCCATCCTTGCTTGCTTCACTTCTTATTAACCACAGAGCTAGCTGTTCACTTTTGGTTTAAGAATTTGTTCCACAGAGACCCAGATATTAAACATGTTAGTCAAACATAATTTCATGAATATTACCAAAATTAAATATGTTCATTAATGTTATCAAACGTTTTTCACTGGTGATCCATTCTGAGAGTTTGGCAATAGCTTCTTAATCTGCCACTACAGGAGTTACTATACTTGCCAGTCTGCACAAAGTAAAATATGCTGCACAAAGTAAAATATCTGTGTAGAATCGAGAAGGGTCTGGTTGCAGACATGCACTCTCAGCTATACCTATACAACCTTTTAAGTCTGCACACTCTGACCTCACCATGACGCAAAAGCTTGTAAACTATCTGAACTACATTCAGTTGCTTTATCACACAGAAGCTGATCACTCAGAACCCTCAGACTGAATATTAACACCTTCATACAGCAGCTCTCACTCTAATGAAGACATAAAGAGAACATTTACTCACAGAGTATTACAGAGAGTGACCTGAACTCCATACTGTCCCTGTAATGACTGACTGACGGACTGATTGAGCAATGCTCTGTGTTCAACACTCATCACTTCCTGTGCTCTTACAACCAAAGCACACGTCACAGAGAGAGAGAGAGAGAGAGAGAGAAAGAGAGAGAGAGAGAGAGAGAGAGAGAGAGAGAGAGAGAGAGAGAGAGATGGTAAACTATACAGGAAATAAATTACAGGAAAACTCAAAGGAAGAACTTCTGTTTGATTCCCCAGTTAGGCAACCAGGATCCTTTCTGTGTGGTGTTTGCATGTTCATTCATCTTGTGCGTATGTGTGTGTCTGCCTTGTGATGGACTGGTAACGTGTCCAGGGTGTCCATTTCTACTATTCAGGATACATGGACAGATGCTTATTACTTTACTGATGAAAGATAAAAATTGTGAGGCTTTGATTATCGTTGTGTATGATGACAATAACTTTCTAGGTGGAGTTGAATTGGCTTCACTGATAGCATGTTATTCTCACTGAACATGACATAGAGGGTCTGACTGGTTGGAATATGCATGCAACCATTATCTATCATATGTCTAATGTGACAAGCACAGCAGAAGCCCTTTTAGCACTTCCTCTACTGGTCCAACCCACACACCTGAAATAACCCACAGAGAAACCACAATAACCAAGCTAATACCCATTCTAGGAAATTTTGACAAATATGGAAATACCCAAACTGTTTGCTCGAGATAAGCAAATATAAATATCACAAGAAATCATGTTAAATATAAATGTTTATCATTAGGTCATTTGTTGTACAGCCTATGCCACCTATAAACAGGAAATGCTGCGGGTGATGGGGGACTGGAATGCCAAGGTTAGGCCTTAAAACAAGAATGGAGCTGGAAAATGACTAATTAACTTCTGCAAATACAAAGAGTTTTTCATTCAAGTTTAAGCTTCCAAAACGATGTCTGTGCACCTGCTCTGTTAGAAATAAAGGTTCTGTGCAGGTACATTTCATTTATTAAGGTACAAACAATGTAAATGCGCCCTTAAATGTACAACAGTGGTTTTAAGGTCCAGTTGTGTATCTTAAATACATTTTTCCCCTCTGGAAAAGTACCTATTTGTACCTTTTCATAACCTAATAATTGAATGCAGAAAAATAAAATAAAAAGCATGGAGATGAGAGGGGTATGTTGTGTCAATACAACTTGGAAAATATACAGTAATTTCCATGGGTTATGGTACAATTACATTCCTTGACTAAAGGTACTGAGATGTACCCTTCATGGTAGCATCCCAGTGACAAGAGGGGTACTGCCTCAGTGACAGCTTTGTACCTTTTTTTCTGAGATTGTGGACATCAGCGGATGTACTTCACCAAAACCAAATACACTACAGTCATGGTTGTCTCCAGATGTTCTTGTTATGAGACCGGAAATTATTCGGCATCTTAAATCATCAACACTGCCGTCTGACACTTTTAAAACTATTTTTAACTCTGTAGCAACTGATTTGCAGCAAATAGTTAAAGTCTCACTGCTATCAGGCATTCACCCAAAGTCACTAAAAACAGCTTAATAAATCATAAAGCCGCTTCTAAAAAAGAGGACTCTGGATGCCTCAAATCTTCCTTTTATAGCTAAGAACACTGAGAACGTTATTTTCAATCAACTGAGCATTTTTTTTACTCTAGTTGTTATCTTGACAAATTTCAGTCAGGCTTCTGATCATATCACAGCGCTGAAACTGCTCTTATAAAAGTGTTAAATGATGTAAAGCTGAACACTGACTCAGGTAAAATATCAGTTCTGGTTTAACTAGATCTCAGTGCTGCATTTGACACTGTAGAACGCAGAAAACTGCTGGACTGGTTGGTAAATTAGGTAAGACTTTCTGGAACAGTCCTTAATTGGTTCAAGTCTCATTTAGAAGGCTGGAGTTATTTGTCACCATTGACAGTTCTAAATCTGATAGGGTGGCTATAACATGCGGAATAACCCAGGGATCAGTTTTCGTTTCTCTTCTGTTCAGTCTCTGTAAGCCACCTTTGGGCCAAATCCTAAAGAACAATAACACTGATTACCATAGTTATGCAGATGATACACAGATATGTCTGGCTCTCTCACCAGATGACTTCGGTCAAATAGACTCACTGTGTCAATGTTTGAAGTATACAAATAATAAGATTAGCCAAAATGTTCTTCAATTAAACAAGGCCAAAACATAGATTCTTGTGTGTGGCAACAAAGAGAGTTGGTATTAGTGAACACCTTGACTCTCAGCCTCTAAAAACTAAAGAGCAAGTCTGAAATATTGGTGTTCTAATAGACTGAGATCTCACCTTCACCAGACATATGAGTGTGAACAAACACACTCAAACACAAACACAAACAGCCTACTACCATCTTAAAAAGTATAGCCAGAATCAAGGATTTGGTGTCTCAACAAGGCCTAGAGAAGCGTACCCTTGCTTTTATCTGCAGCAGCATGGGCTACTGTAATAGTCTCTTAACTGGACGTCCCAAAAAGACAGTTAAACAACTGCAGCTCACTCAGAATGCTGCTGCTGGAGTTCTAACCAGGACCAAGAGAACTTTTGACGCCTACTGGTAGATACATCATATAGCACAGCCTGGGATGGGGAAGTAGCTAAGTAGTGCGCTACTTTTTGTAGCTAACTACAGATTTTTGTAGCTAATAGCTGTAGCCACTACAGTTTTATGAAATGTAGCTAATAGCTGTAGCGCCTACAATTTTTTGTTTAGCTATAGCGATAATTTTCACTACAATTTCGTTACAGACTTCAGACAATCTGTGCAAAATTTGAACCACAGAACGCGGTCGTTAACTGGGCTGGTAGCGATTGTGCAATCCTGACTGAGTCATGCCCAGTTTGAGCAAATGGTCACGCGCTCGCCCCACATGCTGATCACCCCTTACTAGTAGGCTTACCTCTAGCTTCAACAAGAATGAAACCACCTTGGGAGCCACAACATTTTATATCCATTTTACGATCATGGCTGTAAATATGTCTCAGTATGTGCTGATGTACTAGTACAGGCTAAAAATATAAATGAAAATGCAGAAAGGTCAGCTATAGCTGCTTGTCTTCCATCTCAGTCAGGAAACGTTTGTGCAAAAATAGCTAAACTTTCTTGTAAAATGTCTCTCTACGTTTGATTTTTTTATGAGACTGAAGTCGCTTCTCACTCTCCAGCTTCTCGTTCAAATTGTCCTGTTCCACAGAATGTAACTGCTGCACCAATTAAGGTGGAACGGGACAGTTCGAACAAGAAGCTGGTGAATGAGAAACTGACTTCAGCTTTGTGACTTTTTAGTTTGACAGTTTCTCAATGCAGATTAAACGTATCGTTAAACCAGCTGGAGTGGTTATAAATGCAAATAAGTCCATTTGTCTCCAAATTATCGATGTTCGTCTTAAATCGTACTCTTTGCCTTTTCGTTAGCTACTAGCTAGGGGGGTTGTCATTATCTGTGTTGCTGTGTGACCAGCAGTCTGCGCATCAATCTTCAGGGTTAAAGGGTGTATTAGCAGTTATACATTAGCTCCAGTGTTTAAGACCATTTATTGTGAAAGCTGTGTTAGAACTGTGTGTTATAACGATCAGCAGAGCTTTATTTTACAGCAAAGGAGGATTATTTTATTTTTACCTAAAAATCTAGTTCTGCTCTGGAGCCGCAAAAGGGCAGCAGAAGAGCAGCGTGTGGCTGAGCCCTGGCTTAGCTAAAGGGGAAAAAAATTTACAAGTTACTATTCTACTTTTACAAGATACTATTCTACTAATTTTATCAGGTCCACCTAACGTATCATTACTGCTGGGACACAGTCTTGTATCATTTTTATTCTATTTTTTTTTAATTTTTAAAAATTATTATGTAGAATTTGTTGCCTTTACATTGAGTCAGAGTTTCACAGTAAGTGGAGCAGCAGAAATGTTCCAAAATTATTAGAGGAAGAAATATCTTCTTTCATTAATTTCCACTTAAATTTAAGAATGTTTTTTTTTTCCTTTCCTGTAAAGTTACCATTTTTGAGATGCAAGGTTTTCTCATGACCACAACAATATAAATGCATGGTGGTCTTTTCCACTGATGGACAGGGTTGGGGGTGACCGCTGTATTGTACAGATATATCTTGTAGCAGAGTATGGCTATGGTGGGTTTACGTGATGAAATGGACAGTGAGTGTACATACAAAGAAGGTGTATCTAATTACGTAGAAACCGAACTATTTACATTTATTGTTCAAAAAGTGCCGCATTGCCACTGGAGTTAGTTCTGAGGGCAGTACATGGGCCGTTTAAATGAGAAATTTAGATTAAACATAAACTAGAAAAATCATCATTATCATCATCATCATTAACCACTTAATCCAAAAAGGGTCGCGGTTAGAAAAATCTAATTTGTGAATTTAGAAAAAAATGAGCACTACTCTTTGGTTTGCAGTTTCATGTGAAAGAGTATGGATCAAGGGACCAAAGTGGAGCAGAAGGAAAATAGTGCCACAAGATGCACACCTAAATTGTGTCTGCGCTCATCTGGACATCATTTGGACAACACTGAGGGGAGGCATGGTGGTGCAGTTGGTAGCGCTGTCACCTCACAGCAAGAAGCATTTGATTCCCCGGTCGGGCTCCAAACACAATATGGTAGCAAGTTTGAAAAAGGAAGAGAGAGCTTCATCTGTTTATGGCTGTGATTCTAAACATGACTGGTGTTTAAGATGATACTGATTAACATGCAAGCAGTCAGTAAACTTGGTTTGCCATGTTGTGCTCATGGAGTTTAGGTGCAAACAGATCATCAGGTTTACTCTTAGAGTTTTTCTCTTTTGTTTTAATTTCTATACAAGCTATTTTTAATTTAGTTTAAAAACTAATTTAAAAAATAACAAGCTTAGTTGAGGCCTGCTCTCACACAGAGCTTTCTGCATCACCGAGTTTCAATTCCTCACTGGTTGAAGATGTCAGTGCTTCTGTTTCACTAGAAGAGAGGGAAGTCAAACCACAGCC